TTTATAGCAGTATTTGGACATTTGAACTGTTCATGGTGGTTGTTGCTTTACCAGAGATTAGAGGCTTTTAAAAGTCTGGGTCTCTTTAAATGTCTAGAACAGCTTTGTTTGGTTAAACTCTSTCTGTGTCCAGAAGGAAAATATATGGAAAACTGGCCAGAATGCAAAACATGAGCTGGGAAAACATCTCTGATGGATTTGTATCTTCTGACACCAAAGATGAGAGACAGGAGTGGCTTCTGAATTGTCACAGAATCACAGGCTGGTTTGRGTTGAAAGGGACCTTAAAGATCACCTCACTCCAACCCCCTGCCATGGGCAGGGACACCTTCCACTGTCCCAGGGTGCTCCAAATCCTTTCCAGCCTGGCCTTGGACACTGCCAGGGATGGGGCAGCCACAGCTTYTYTGGGCAMCCTGTGCCAGGGCCTCAGCACCCTCAGAGGGAAGAATTTCTTCCTAATAACTTAACTGAACCTRTTCTCTTTGAGTTTGGATCTTGTCAACACTCCCTCTGCAGGTTTCCTGTGGGCTCCCTTCAAGAACTGAAAGGCTGCAGTAAGGTGTCCCCAGAGCCTCCTCTCCTCCAGGCTGAACAATCCCAATTCAATCRGCCTTTCCACTGGCAGGTTTCAGTGCTGTGTTGTTGGATGATTTCTGCCCCCAGCTCTCACCCAGTGGCACTGGGACCTGTTGAACAGATGAGATGGGTGTGAGCTGAGGAGCTGCCGTCCTGGTGGCTGGGAGGAAGGTTTTGGTAGCTGTGTGTTCCACCATTTCAAAATCTCTTGCACTTTGTTGGGGGGCTGAACTTGCCAGCTCTGTGGTATGGTGTGTGGGATGCAAGAGCCCCCAAACCCTGAGGGAGAGAGATTTATTCTGTGGGATGTGGTTGTGGATGTAAATCCACCAAATCATCTGGTGGGTGGTCTCCTGCAGCTACACCTGGATTCAAGGTATGGCTGGGGTTGTGCTGGGCTCTCCCTCCCCTCTTCACTTGAGCCAGCACCAGGAAATGGGAAGAATAGTGTCCAAAAGAGTTGAATGGCATATGGAAAGTAATCCAGGCCTTGCTGAAGCCACTCACGTGCTTAATAACACTCAGATTTGTTATAAGTTCAGATGAACRTAAGCATGGGTGAGGATTACCTGGAAGATGTGCAGTATCAGCAGAAAGTTAGCAGGGTCTGATAGCCAAGTAGTGGGAAAAAATGTGAAATTTGAGGAGTGTTTTAAACCTGAATTACCTTTTGGTAAAGGGGAAAAAAACCCCAGATTGTGGCGTGGGCTTTAATGACAAGTGGGTCTGCAAGACAGAACTGTTGTGCTGTGGGATGTTGGTGTYTGGGGATGGAGGATGAATACAGCTCAGGGGAGAAGACTCCAGGGAGAAGGATGGCCCTGGATGTGATCCACCAGGGCAGACAGCATGGTGACTTCCTCTGTTGCCCTGGAAAAAGCAAGTGCCTGTAATTTTTGGGGTTTTGTGAACTGTTTCAAGATTACAGTCGGTCTGAAGCTGGGCAAACCACAGCAGTGTCCCATGGGTGGCTTTGCAGGCTGTCTCCAAGTGTCCCCTAGTCCTGGTGCCAGGGATTGGTTTCCTCTTGCCATGTGTGGTCTGCCCTGCCTGAGAGAGCAGCAGGGAGGTGATGACCCCATGCTGGTCCTTGACAGGAACCGTAAGGAAACCAGAAGCTGCGGGAGCTAAATTGGGAACATATTCTTTTAAACTCTGCTAAATGGGGGTTTAAAGGGCATCAGCTGTTGGGCTTCTAATGGAGCAGCTGGMATGGAGCAAGCTGGTAACTGGATTGCTTCTTTAGGTGATTTGCTTTGTGCTCATYGCCCGCTCAGCCCTGTGCTTCCCTTTCCCTGCCTCAGAATTCTCCTGTGMATGCTGAACACCAGTACAGGACACTTTGCCAGCTGGGGTGTTTGGCCCTGATCCAGGAAAAACACTGAAGTGTTTGCCTAAACCCAGATCAAAGAGATGTTCTCTTGAATTTGAAGTTGGACACATTCTGTAATGCCGTAAGGATTTTTTTTTTTTTTTATTCTCACATGAAGTTACAGGAGGCTTGAGCTCAGTGAAGCAACTGGCTCTTGATCTTCCTTTTCAAGAGCCTTTTGGTTGACCTCTTGAGGTTCCTCTCAGGCATGATTCCTGGGGTAGATAACAAGGCAGTTGAACTTGTGCAATGATAATTGAACGTTTGAAAGGCATATTAAACGTCCTCAAATCAGATCTCACTTCTGGAGATCAAAATTACACCTTGTGAGTGGCAAAGAGGTGAATTATCTCCCTGCTGCAGAGCTCCTCCATATTCCAGTCACGTGTTTTGGGTTGCCCACAGACAGAGGCAGGATGGTGAAGGAGATGGATCAATGCTCTGATTGAGCCTGGCAGGGTCCCGCTGACCTCAGTGGGAATTTAACACGTGTTTAAGCACTGCCCTACAAAGGCAGACTCTTCTGTGCCAGTCTCTGCACTGAGAAAAGCAGGTTTCTGTTAAATGCATGGATCAACCTCACTACATCCTTTCTCTTGGTGTGTTTAAATGGGAAGATCCTGATTTACAGCATGTGCTTCCATTTAAAAAATAAACACAAGCTGTCCCAAAGTGAAGCCATGCTCTGTGTCACAGCAATGCCATTGGAGGGGGGGGGAGATTTCCATCAGTGCCTGTGAAAGGGACATGTGCACAAAAGGCTGGGAGGACACAGCAGAAAAAAAATTGAATTTCATGGCTGGCTTTGCTTCTAAACCTGCAGCAGGAGTAGCCAGAGTGGTGCATCCTGTGGCTCATGGCCCCTTGAAGTGGCTGYGCTCGGTCCTGACAGGATGGTTTCCCTTATCTTAACTCCTACAAAGGGAACCAGGAAATACGCCTGTGATGTGGGATTCCTACATTTCAGGCCTTGATCAGCTTGACAGCTTTTCCTCTGTCTCCACCACCCCCTTCCCCCTGTGGTTAATGAGCAAAGCCAGTTGAAAGCAGGGAATTGCTGTGCCCCCTTTTTGTGGGAAGACACGTGGGATGGTGACAGCTGTGTTTGGGTCCTGCTGCCGATCCCCTGCTCGGGGAATTTACAGCCTGCCCATCTTTTCCTGTGGCATTATATCCCTGCTGAGGCTTTGGCAAGAGCTGGCTGTTGTCTTGCATCCAGCCCAYGCTCAAAACAAGAGTTTTGAGTACGTTTGTTGGTGGACAATCACCTCTAGCAAACTCTGGTATGTCCCCCACAAAATGCACTTGTTTTCAGAGCCTTTACTTTGCCAAGTAAATAACTCAAAAACTCCAGATTTCTTCCTTCTGAGGCAGGTGTGYCCCAGATGAGGCTTTGATCTGGGAGGCTCAGCTGAGTCTGACCCTGCCTGTGTGAGGATCCTGAACACCAGCTGGCTGGGATATGCATTTTGGGTGGCTGCTGCCAAATGGGAATGGCTCTCGTGAGCCAGAGCTCAGTTCTGCCTTTTGAGAGACACTTGTTTCGTGTAAATTGAGCTTTGCTAGGAAATTGTTATGTGGCTGAACTAAATTCAGTAAAAAGATTAAATTATATTGATAGGTAATTAAATTGGGGATGTTRAATTGTGCCAGAGGTTTAGACTGGGAATTAGGAAGCATTTCTTTAACAAGAAATGGTTCAGACATTGGAACAGGCTTCCTGGACAGGTCATCAGTGCGCACAGCCTCTCATATTTAAGAAGYATTTGAACAATGCCCTTAAAATATATTAACTTTTGGTCCGTTCTGAAGGGGTCAGACAGTTGGACTAGGTGATTGTTGTAGGTTCCTCTCAACTAAAGTAGAGTCTGTTCTGTTCTAAAATTAAATTAAATTTTGGGACAATTCAGATTTGAATGTCAGCAGTTCCTGGATCCCTTCTTTCTGGAACCATCAGATATTATCTAACCTTTGGAAAATGAACCCTTTAAAGAAAGCTGAATGTGGCATATATCAAACAACTAATTACCATTGAAATGGTAGACAATGCTTTTTTTTTTTAATCCAATACAGGAAGAAAAAATGCTGCCAATAGCAGCAGAAGTGTAGCATGAGAACACCAGAGGTGTTCACTAAGCAAGGCACTGCTTGCACTCAGCAAGTGTCGTGCTGCTCGTTGGTTACGTGTAGTCGTGTTTTCAGGAGTTATTGCCCAAAAAGCTGTGAGTTRTAACAACTCATTAGCCTTGGGCTTCTGGTCTGTTTACAACTTGTGAATTAATAGCTTAATGACATGTTCCAACATGGGAGAGCTGTGAGAAGAAGAGGAAAAGGCAGATATTTCCAGATGAGAAATGTAATTTTGAGCTAAAGGGGGTGTTGCAGTTAAGTTCTGTACCTGTCCCGGATGCCATCCTTGTTCTAGACCACAGTGCCCTGACTTCTGAACCAGGGGTGTAATTGTGGCTTTTGAAAGCATTTTATCATAGAATCACAGAACAGTTTGTGCTGGARGGGACCTTAAAGATAATCTCATTCCCACCCTAGCCATGGCAGGGACACCTTCCATTATTCCAGGTTTCTCCCAGCCCCATCCACCCTGGGGGAGCACTGCCAGGGATGGGGCAGCCACAGCTTTTTTGGCCAACCTGTGCCAGGGCCTCACCCCCCTCACAGTCATTAATTTCTTCCAAATACCCAATCTAAACCTCCTGTCTTTCAGTGTGAAGCCATTCCCCCTGTCCCATCACTCCATGCCCTTGTCAAAATTCCCTCTCCAGCTCTCCTGTAGCCTCTGAAGGCACTGGAAGGGGCTCCAAGGTCACCCCAGAGCCTTCTCCAGGCTGAGCAGCCCCAGCTCTCCCATCCTGGCTCCACAGCAGAGCAGCTCCACCCCTGGCACCCCCTCCTTGGCCATCTCTGGGCTCTCTTCAGCCAGTCCACATCCTCCTTATTTTGGGGGCCCAAATTGCAAAACCAGGAGTGCTAACTGCATGTGGTGATCCTAACGTTTTGTTTATTCTTTTCTTTTCCTCTCCCCCCTGCACAGGGACTCTGCCGAGGGACCGGATCTTTAAGAACCTGACTCGGAAGCGGCAGCGGGCGATGCGCAGGCGGGTGCACCAGGTGAACGGGCACAAGTTCATGGCCACCTACCTGCGCCAGCCCACCTACTGCTCTCACTGCAGGGAGTTCATCTGGTAAGAGCAGCTCAAACACCCCMTCATGGAGCTTCCCAGTCCTGTAGGTTCTGGGGATGATCACCCCCAGTCCTGAATTGGTCACTTAGCACTTTACTCAGGGCTGCTGAGGTGATGCTGCTTGRCCATCAGGTTTGGCAGGGTGCATTTATGCTGCAGCCAGACCAGAGCTGATGTGTATCTTRGATTCTGGAACCAATCTGGGTTGCTGTGGGGATGGGGCAGTGTCCCTCTCTTGCAGCCAGAGGTGTTATTTCAAAGGAGAAAAAAGTAACGAGGAAACCTGAAGAAAGATCKGACTYRCTGGAGGGGAGCGTTGAGATTACASTGAGAAAAAAACAGTTGCTTGAAAGTTGAGGAAGATTCTTGAGAACAGAAAATCCATCAAAGGGGTGTGAGGTGTGGGGTGATGCACGTGGAGAAGTGGGCAGAGCAGGGAGAAAAGTGTAGATGTTTCTGAAAAGAACACAGAGTGGTAGAGTAATAACAGAGTGTGGGCTGTGGGGATCAGTCTGATGTGTGGGGTGTGTGTTGTAATGAAGTGAGTTATTGGAGAAACGAGAGTGAGGGGAAATGTGGGGTACACAGGTGTGATGGCAGCCTGCCCTGAGGGGGAATGTGGGGTACACAGGCATGATGGCAGCCTGCCCTGTGAGCCGTGGCCGGTGCTGGTTCTTCCTGGGCTCTCACACCCCTGAGCTGGACTGYACCTCTGCTGGGCAGCTCTGGTCATTGGGGATCCTCCTGCACGTTGGCTCTGTGTTCTGCAAACAATCTGCAAGAGGTTCCTGCCATTAATGGTGTCCATGTTTTGTCTTKTCCAGGGGCGTTTTTGGCAAGCAGGGATACCAGTGCCAAGGTAAGTGCTCCTCTCCTGTGTGCTGTGTGTGTGTGATGTGCTGTTCTGGGAGCACTTGCCCGTGCTGCTGGGACATCGTGCAGCTCTGAGCTGTTCTGGAATCACCATTCCTCATCCTCCCCAGCCAGACTTGTGCTCTGGAGCYCCTGTCAGCTTTGCTTGRCYKCACTGGCATTCCTGCAGACACCTGRGTGTCCAGTAGCAGTTTGATCCTGTGCAATTCCGCTGAGTTGCTGGCTAGAAGCAACACCCAGCCGGACTTGAGGCACCCAGGGTCCCTTCAGGACAATGCTTTGATGGTGTTGGGACACAAAGTACCCTGCTGGAATGGCCAACCCTTCTTCCTTTCTCTCCCTATGAAGTTCATCAAAGTGAAATTGTGGATTTTGTAACTTCCAGGAGCAGCCTGGTGGGTTGATGTTCTGTCTGAGTGCATAGTTTGGCTGACTGGCTGTAGAAGTGTATGTGGTGCTTGTTTGCATTTAATTATTGTTCTGCCTTTCCCTTTTTTAGAATTTTCTGTCCCTTTTTCCCAGAATTACCTGCTTCAGAGGTGCCTGGTCATTCAGTGTAGCCCAACACAGCCTGTTCCTGTGCAGTGTAATACAACGTGGTATCTTCCTTTAGCTGCATGGGAACAAAATTGATACTGTTGTGTGAACTGCTCTTCACTGCATAATATTTCAACAGCATTTTTTGAGTAGTTTGAGCAGCTACATTGTTGCTTCTGTGTCCATCASCCATTTTTGATGTAAGCAGCTGTTTTCCAGGTTCTGTGAATGATCCAGTGCAGAATTTCTGTTACAGTGGATTGAAGACACACCTCCAAATCTGTTGTTAATTCAAAGCCACTGATTATTTTTCCCATCTTTACTGTGTGCTGATGGTGCAGCTGAGCCTTAAGGAACCCAGCTGTTGGATTTGATGTGTTCTGAATCTTCCCAGGGCTCTTTTCATCCTGTCTCTTTTATTCCCTAGTGTGCACCTGTGTTGTACACAAGCGCTGCCATCACCTCATTGTCACCGCTTGCACGTGCCAAAACAATACCAACAAAAACGATCTCAAGGTAAAGTCACGTTGCTTATTTTGCATCATCCTGCTTTGTCTGGGGTTGTCTGGGTTGCTGGGGTTGTACAATAACAGAATTTGCTCTGTGTTATCATTCTTCATGGGTTTAAAAGTGGGAAAGAGTGATAGGGACATGGAGGAAGGCCGTGCAATGTCATGCAGTTCTTCTGTTGATGCCATTAACTGTTTGGAGTAGCACATGGTTTAAGAAGTCAGGATATCTTCATTGGAAGACATCAAAAAGTRGCAAATCCACTTGTTTCCTTGGTAATTTTCTTGCATGATGAATTGTGGTGCAGTTCAAAATTTGGTGCCCAGTTCTTAATAATGTGGATTTTCTTGGCCAACCACTGGTCTTTGTTTTGCCTCTTTTTTCTTTYCTGATTGCCTGAAGGGCCTATTTAGTTGTTGCTCCACACCTTTGCTCTGTGAAATATGTTGTATTAAAGAGGCCTTGCATAACTTGTGTTTCTGCAGGTTTTCCTTCTTGCTAGTTTTGGCTGTGTTTGATGGGAGTAACATCCCTACCTAACACTGCCCTGTGCATTGCATGTCTCATTTCTGGAACTGGAAATGGTTCAATAACTGTTGGAGCAAAAATTAAATAAAATCTATTTGTTCATGAGGCAGCTCTGGGTTTTGTGCCATGAAAATGCCTTTGTTTGTTATTTCTTGCCTCCAAACTGCTGAGCTGAACTCCTTAAAATGACCCCTTGACAAGCTGAAAATAAGTTAAAAAGTCTAAAGGTAAAGTGCAAGTTAAATAGGGAATGTCCTCACYCCTCTCTTGGGATTATGAAGGTTTTATAAGACATTTAAACTACTTTAAAAGAAGCCAAAGGTGAGGAGGCACCTTGAACTTCTTGTTTCAGTCCCAACCCTGACTTTATGGAGTTCTGGGTTCCATCTTCTCTTTCCAGGACCTGCATGTTGAGAAACAAAGTCAAAAGTGATAAATTTGCTAAATGGGGAGTAGTTTCTTCAGCCATTAAAACATTTTTAAAGGTGTCCTTGAGATCTGAATGATTTACAATTGGAAAAGAACAGGGTTAAAAAGGGGATGAGTGCAAGTGATAAAGTGAAATATGTGCCTGAAAGGAAAGCTTTTAACAACAAGGAGGGTGAGAAGAGGAATGAGAATTTCAGGAGGAGCTGTGAAAGCTATTCTATATTAAATTTAATARAATCAACAGTTTGACCTGAACTTGCATATTTTTGCACATAGTATGCAAGTCAGTAATTTCAAAACTTGTGATTACAAAATGCTGTAGCTCACACTGCAGTGGGATTGGTTTTTTTGAGGTAATCCACACTTGCAATACTAACTTGTCCTTTAGAATTTAAAATGGGCTAGGCAGCCCTTATTTTGAAATCTGTTTTTGCCAAGTAGTCTGATCTGGTTAGGAGGGAGAGCAGGGCTGGCTCCCAGCAGGTAAGGCTGTTGATTCAGTATTCACTTGCAGTAAACCTCAGCCAGGGGACGGATTGGGACATTTTCTGACTTGAAATTATTTTTACACTTAAATGCCTGTATTTAAATGAMCACCAGCTTGCACATATGTATTTGAATTTTAAACCTGTGCTTTCCTTTTGGTGCCTCAGGTGACGGAACAGAGGTTTGGGATCAACATTCCTCACAAATTCAGCGTCCACAACTACAAAGTCCCGACGTTCTGTGACCACTGCGGGTCCTTGCTCTGGGGGATCATGCGGCAGGGTCTGCAGTGTAAAAGTGAGCAGCTTCTCCCTSTTGCCTTTCCACAAATTMCATTTTATTTTTACACTCTTGATGCACTGTGTGGGCTTGATTTGTGCAACCTTCAGGAGAAAGCTGAGCGATGAATATTCACCTTCGTAAGAGTTAAAAAAAAAAATGCTGATCTCTTTTTTAAATCTCTGGCTGCCAGAAGGACTCTACTTTGCACAAACTCAGCACAGCTTTGTTTAACTTGCATTATTAAAAGTTATTATTTTGCTTCCTGCATTCGCATTTTCCCTTTACCTGAAGGTTTTTCCTCATCTAATGAGATAAGGCAGGGAAAAGGCATCTGAGGGGAAAAAAAGGTCATTGCTTTGGGCTGCCTGCCCTGTCTGTTAATTGATGACTAAGCATGTCCTGGCGTTATGTTTTTGTTTCAGTGATCCAAACTGTAAAATCGTTGCCTTCACCTCCCACAAGAGGGTGTGTGTGTGCCTATGAGTTAGAGCAAGAATGGTTTTTTTTTTTTTTTTCCCTCTAAACACTGTATTTATGCACGTGAAAATGCAAGGGATGTTTGCTGTGAAATCTGTGGCATTATAAATGCTAATTGTACTTAGAGTATAACTGCAATGGTAGTTATGCACCTCAAAAATACATGCTTATGAAAAGCTCTGGGCAATGTGGCATCCTGCTTGGACAGTTTGGGGTCTGTTCCTGGTTTTCAGGAGTTTATTCTCTTCCAAGAGTCCTAATTTTGCTTCTGCTTAGATCAGTGGCAAAAATCCCACCAGTTCAAGGATACAGAGTCGATCCAGATGGGTGTTATTTCCTGAAGCAGAATTGCCAAATTGTTTCTCAGCAGTAAATCCCTCCAAGTTATTTTAATTGTTCCTTTGCTTTTAATTTCCATTCTTGTCAGTCTGTAAAATGAATGTCCACATCCGATGCCAAGCAAATGTTGCTCCAAACTGTGGGGTGAACTCAGCAGAGCTGGCAAAAACCTTGGCCTGCATGGGTCTGCAACCAGGAAGCATCTCCCCAAATTCGGTGAGTCTTTTTTAATTTTTTTATTTCTCTGTTTAAAACCTTTACAAAGGAGTTTTTATATGGGGGAAGGAGAAGGCAGAGGCTTCCCATAGGACAGGTGGGTTTGGGTGGTGGATGCAGGAATAGTTCTGTGGCTTGTGGCAGAGGTTTCACCTGGAAAATGGRTGTCTGGTATCCAGGCTTTAATCTRTAGATGTTGCTTTGCTATGTGCTTATGTTYCACACTGCTGTGATTCTTCAGCACTCTTATCTGCTTGTCACAAATGAGAGCAGAAAAAGACACCTTAACTGATTAGTGATATCAATATAATTCATGCCATGTGGTTTTTTTTGGTTTTTTTTTTGTCACTTGAAGTGTTAATGCTGTCTGCATATGTGGCTCATGAAGGACCTTATTTCTCTTCCTAGCTTCATCACTGTTTTTCTGTGGGATTTGGGGAAAAGCATTTCACTCTTCACTACATCCCTGGCCGAAAAATCTGCGGTCCCTGTGAATGCAACAAAAAGAGAATATTAAGACTCAAAGCATATTTTCCAGATGTGATAAATCTTCTCATACAATCAGCCAGCAGTCACATCGTGCTGTATCAGCCTAGCAGGTTCATTAGGATGTGCTGCCCCTTTTGATTTCAGCTGGTTTATAGCAGACTCTTATCTTTGCTCTTCTCCCTGTAGCAGTTCAGGGGGACAGTTATCCTGGGAATTACAGGGARATCCCAAACCCCCTTCTCGGTTCTGCAAAAATCAGCACTTGTTAWCACTTGTTGTTTGCATCATCTGCACATCAAAAGGAGATGAAAATAGAAAAAAAAAAGATCTCTGCTTGGTGTTTAATGATATCTTCTTGTTATTTGAGAGCTAAAGGGTCTAGAAAAGTGTTCATACTTTGCTGTGGGATAGCTCGGAATGGCTTTAAGCTGAACGAGGGTGGATTTAGATAATATATTAGGAAGAAATTCTTTACTGTRKGGCTGGTGAGGCCCTGGCACAGGTTTCMCAGAGAAGCTGTGATTGTYCCATCCCTGAAAGTGTTCMAGATCAGGCTGGAWGGGSTTKRGAGMAGCCTGGTCTAGTRGAAGGTGTYYCTGCCYATRGYAGGGAGTTGGAACTCGWTGGTCTTGAAGGTTCATTCCAACCCAAACCATTCTGAGCTGCCGTGACTGCTCTTGGTGCTTTKCCCGTGGTGACCAATCCCCTGCACAGGAGGAACTTTGCTGTACACCAAAATAGTCACAAGATGGAGCTCACGCAGTCCGTGTGACTTGGTTCACCCCAATACCCTGAGTAGAAGCGCTCGTTTTGTGTGCACATGCATACCTGGGAGCTGTGAGCAGAGGGCACTGGAGGTTGGCTTGATCTTTATGTGCTTCAGAATTACAAGCTCTAGAAATGTGTGCTAATGCTGGTACAMCTCCTGAATATGCAGCACCTCGCTGCTGGTGTGGAATGAACAACTTTCCATCAAATTCAGAGCAGTGGAGCAAACCAGCAGCCCAGATGAGAGAAAAAAGCATKTTTTGAAGTTGGGGTCCCACTGAACTGAGCTTTGAGTAAGAGTCTTAAAATCAGGTAGAAATGTGAGAAATTCAGGTGAAATCTGCCAGGGTTCTAGATCTCACCAGCACTTTGGCTGTTTCAGAAATGAAGCAGTCCTCCTTGCTTTGCTGTTAGATAGGAGACTTGAATATCCCCACTCATTCTCTTTCTTTTTGTGGGGAATAAGGATRGAGAGRGCCMGCCTTGCCTCTTGGGGASGGTCCTGTGCAGGGCCAGGAGCTGAACTCGATCCTTGTGGGTCCCTTCCCACTSAGCATATTCTGTGATTGTCTCTGATCTGCTGAGCAGTGTTCACAGCCCAAAATGCCCAGATCAGGAGCTGGTGTTGACATCTCAGCACAGCCCTGAGCAGTGCCACGTTTGGCTGGTCACACATGGCAGCTGTGTGATGGTACCAGAAGCCATAAAATGGCCCTGGACAGGTCCCATATGCCCTGCTTGGTGGGTTGACTACCTGTGAGCACCTCTGAGGCAGAAGTACAATTCTTTTGCAGACTGACACTTTGCTTTCTTCCACAGAAACTGGTTTCGAGATCCACGTTGAAGCATCAGGGAAAAGGCAGCCTGAAGGACGGCAACAACATTAGTGAAAGTTCAGAAAGCAAACTTGGGATCAAAGACTTAACCTTCCTTCGTGTGTTGGGAAAGGGAAGCTTTGGAAAGGTGAGAGTTACTCGTGGCTCAGTTGTGGGAAATCATATTCCTTGTTTAAGAAGCCTCAAGATAGGTGAARTGATTTCATAAAATGGCACAGGCTGTCCAGTGGCACTTCAGAGTGAGTATTAAGTGGTACTTGCTTTGTGCAACAAAGTTGGTTGCAGAGAGCAGGGAGAAAAGAGAAGAGAAAGAAAGCTGACAGCAAAGTGAAGATTTGGATATCACAAAAAAGAAAGAAGTTAGCACCTGAGGGAACAGCTGCATGCCAGGGCCCATACCAGGAGCTGCAAGTGTGTGCGTTAACACCCGTTTGGGCAGCGTTTCTTGGAGCATGTAAAGACTTCTCCTTTAAAGGCAGCAAGGCARTGGTTTCAAATGTGGTGAGATGGTGGTTTTGTTTCTCTGCTTTGCCACGAAGCTGATGGGAAAGAGTTTGTGTTTGAGTTTTATGACTGAGGAAGGAGGTGGGATGGATGGCCGTGCTCAGGCAGTTTGTCCTGGCACAGTGGGTGCCCTTCTTTAACCTTCTTTAACCCACAGCTGGTKTTTGTGTGGGTATTTGTGTCTGGAGCAGGCTGCTGCAGGCAGTGTCATTGATTGCACACTGATGACAGGCTGGCTCACTGTGGTCCACAAGCTCGTGAGATAACTGACCTTTCCAGCCTGGGAAGGTGTGAGAGGCTCTGTACTGCTCAGAGAGCTCAGCCCTTGCCATTCACACTCCCTTTTGGTTTAGGTGATGCTTGCCAAGATGAAGGAGAGTGGGCAGCTGTACGCAGTGAAGGTGCTGAAGAAGGATGTCATTCTGCAGGATGACGATGTAGAGTGCACCATGACAGAGAAACGCATCCTGTCCTTGGCACGGAACCACCCCTTCCTCACCAAGCTCTACTGCTGCTTCCAGACTCCTGTGAGTACAGCCCAGGCAGTGCCCAGCCTTCCTGCTGTCACTGGCWGGCAGGAGGAGCCCTGCTGTGCCTTTGGCCCCTGGCCTGTGATAAATRTCCACCTCAGACCCAGGAGAAGCCTCTCTGCTCAAGGATGAGCACAGCACTGTGCTATATTCCATCCCTAACATCTGCTGGGCATTTGGCAAACAAAATCCTGGTTTTCTCTAAGTTCCCTAGCAAATTGGTCAGGCACAAAACCTTTCTCTGTGTCTTCCCTAGAAACATCTTTGTGCCTTTGAATGTTTCCAAGTGTCAATGTCTGCCCACCTGCAGTGTCCTCTGGTTGCTGTGGGATCTCAGGCTCTGCCCTGTTGCTGCCTGAATTTTTAACAGGGCTACATTTGCGTTGAATTTTCTGCAAACTTAAAGATTTGCACTTGGAGCCGGGGGCAGCCTCCTGTCTCTGCCAGCTTTTGCAGGCTGCTCAGAGCTGAATAAAAGATCCTTCTGAGTTCACCAGCTTCTTGCTGGTGTGGCTGGGGAAGGGAGGAGTAGCTGAGATGGAGGCAGTGGCCACAGCCATGTATGGCATGGTGAATTTGGGAGTCCCTCAGCTAAGCTGTTGTTAGGACCAAASCATTTTCTGCAGTGTAGCTCTTCAAAACTGCCTGGGCTCCTTTCCAGTTGCATTTTATTCTTTGCTAAAGGGCAGCAGAGCTTGTTTTCCTCTTAGAACTGAGGCAGGAGAAACTTGCCCTTCTAATTGCAGCTTCGCTCCTCCTACATAAGCCCAAAATACTTTAAAAAAACAACAAAAAAAAGAGCAGACAAACGTATTCTGCCACCCACCCATTTCTCTTTTCACTGGGGTGATGCAACATCCAGCTATGGAGGTGAAAAATTGTGCTCATTTAGGGTGGAGCCCTAGAGTAGACTCACCTAATGGAAATGAGGTGGTTTGTGTTGGTTTTTTATTTCATACCCAACTCACGTGGTTCACACAGCAGCTGTGCTGTATAGCAGAAACAAAACTTAAAGCTCACTGTTGTCACTAGTAACCAAGGAAACTTTAATTTCGTGATATTTCAACTTGTAATGGCTTTCCTGAAATATCAGAAATGTCCAATGTTGATGTGTTATGTTTGAGGGCAGTTGTGAGTTTTTCCACTTGTTGCTATGGCTTTGCTGACTGAATTTGCAGTGTAGATGTGAAAATTCCAAGTGTGCTCCTGGGCTGTGCAGAGTGTTTCCCATGAACTGAGGGAAGATTCAAGGTCACTGTGTGAGCACTGTCTCRTGCTGAGAAAAATTGAGTGTAGTCTGCTGTGGGATCTGCAGGCAAGGTCTTCTGGGCTGGTGAAGTAATTGCAGAGTCTTTTGCAAAGAGGAAGAGAAGGGGAGAACTCAGCCTGTTTAGACTAGCAAATTGAGAGCAAAAAGAGGATCTGATTGATGTCTGCAGATGTCAAATACTGAGGAGGGAAACAAAGCTGTCAAGATGTTGGCTAAGATTAAATGAGTCTAGACTGGCCATGGGTACAGTTAGACTGGAAATTAAAAGGAGTTGCTAAAGAGTAGAGCAGCCTGGAGCAGGAATTTCTGGACCAGCTTGTCATCAGAGGAGCAGAGGGAAGARCTCCTCAGCCCTTGGTGCCCTGAACACAGAGCTGGTCAGTCCTTRGAATGGTGCTGAGGGAGTGCTGCTYRTRTAGCAGAACCCTGCTATTTCCAGTCTTTCCTGGGTTCCTCTTTTACTTGAATCCCACTTTGCTTCATTGTCTGAACTGTCTGTAACAGTAAACCACTTCCCTCTGATGGTAAAAAACACCAAAAAGGGAAGTGTTCACAAAAAAAACCCCATAGATTTCAAATAAGGGTGGTTAATGATGTCTTTTGCCCATGGTCTGCACTCAGTGACACCCTTTTCAATCCAGAATAACCAGATTTAAATTGCTTATAAAAGCACAATTAAACCCCTTTGCTATAGTAGAGAAGTGATTGCAATATCAAGCTGTTCTCTGGACAGAATCCTTCCACGAGGGCTTAACCAGGCTGACACAAATTTAGGATTTCTGCTTGGTTTTTGTATGGCAGGGGGATAGCCTGCCATTAACAAGAACTTGGCAGGGAAAAAAAAATTAAAATTGTAGGTATAAGAAGAGTAGCCACTTATTCAAAATGTCATCCTGCAGCCATATTAAAAAAGTTAAGGACTGGGGGCATAGTAGCACAAATACCCAGTTTCACTTGCAGTTGCATGGAAACCACATCACATGCACCACAGATACAGCCCAGACTCTGAAAACGTGGAATTATTGGCTGATGTTATAAGAAACAAAGCATGACTCCGGTCTGCCATGGAGATCCTGGATACATAATGACCTGTGGGGCCTGCCTTTAGGAATATTTTCAGAGCTGGCCATCTGGAGGCTTCTCACTATTTGTAAAGATAGGTAAGTCTGATGCCATAAGATCAGGACAGGCTGGGACTGACTGGCAGAGCAGTGGCCCAGCTGGAAGGTACCCAGAGCTTATGGAGGGTGCCAGGTTCAGTCTGAACCAGCAGTGCAGCCCCATGGAATGTGAACTAAATTATGGACTGGGCTGCTCCAGGAGCTCGGGAGAGTCATTGTCTCTTCTGCCTGGCTGCACCTAGAGCAGGGGTGGGCAGCTATGGCCTCCCCACTCCCATTCAAGAGGAAATAGTGGAAACTCAAAAGGAAGGTTCTTGGAAGCGCCAGAGATGCTGCTGCAGTTTGGGGACAGAGGAGTCAAAGGGTCTGAGGGTCTGGCTGGATCCAGAGCCATCTGCACTCTGGTTCTTTTACAAWATCCCAACCCAARCTCATGGTTTAGGCAGCCTGGGGTKGSTTTAACAGCCYGGGATGTGTCTGTGCTGTGGGGTGAGATGTYGTGTGGTGCCAGGGATGCGGCGTTATTCCAGGGATGCCCCATCCCAGGAAGTGCTCAAGGSCAGGCTGGATGAAGCTCTGGGCAGCCTGGCTGAGTGAAAGGTGTCCCTGTGCATAGCAGGAGGGTTAGAATGAGATCTTCTTTACCATCCCTTCCAACCCAAACCRTTCTGTGATCCTGTGATCAGCTGAGCTGGCACAAGGACCCGACACAGCAGTGCCTTACCTGAGTTCATCTATACTGTTGCCACTTCTGCTTGCCTATTTTAGAGCTGGCTGAGGTTTTTCTGAGCTTTCATTGGCTGCTGATAGTTTTCAGAAGGATTTCCTTGTTCTGTGCTCRGTGTGAGCCTGCTTTAGTCTCAGCTGCAGCGTGAGCGGTGTCCACTAGCCAGGGTGGCTTTATCTGCCCTTGGTGGGCTCCTGGCTCATCAGGGCTCAGTCCTGCAGCCACTAGGTGGTAGGAGCTGCAAGGGCTGCCTCTGCCTGCTGTGGGTCACACTTTTCAGAGCCTAAAGATGAAACATCAGCTGCTCAGGGATCTGGCCAGGGCTGGATGTGGCCATCTGTGTGCCCAGCAATGGGCTGGGCAGTTTTGGGCTTGCACCTCCGGATTTCTTTCTGTGAGAGGCAAGGAAAGAGTCCAACTCCTCCACTGCAGAGAGGCAATTTAAGTCCTTCTCCAGCTACATCTGTGGGTGGTCTTCCTTGCTCACCACTTCTCTGKTTTTTTTWAATTTTTTTAAATTGATGGCCTTGCCTTGTGAGCTTTCCACCTTGCCTAAGCCATTTACCTCTGCTTTTTCTAGGGCATTAGAGTAATTCTGTAGTGCCAGAGGGGATTATGCTTCCTCTCAGGTAATCTTTAAGTTGCTGACAGGTGCTGGGACCTGTGGATAATCGTGGATCCTGCATTAGGGGTCACAAGCACCCAAAAGTGTTTGTTTCCTTTTACCTGACACTGGTGTCATCCAACACCTCAACAATACTGACCTACAGGGGGTGAAAAAGGCTGTATGTATAAATAGCTAAGTCAGTAATGTAATCCTGGGGAATGTGAATCCTGGAATGTTTTAATTAAAATCAGTTTGCAGTAGGCAGGTCCTGTCCTCTTTGGGGTTTAGGAGCCATCCTTCCTGCACAGGTGGTTTGCTTTTAAATCCTTTTGTCTCCACTCATATRCATGAGAATGGAAAGGGCTGGGGGAGATCAGCTTCCCATGCAAATGGTGTGGAATAGCTTCTGGGTTTTATGTTTATTGCCCTTATCCCTTTCCTCATGACCAAAGGGTCCTTGCAGGGGACTGTCCCGCAGGCGATGCTGTTCCCAGCACTGTCCCYGTCAGCCAGCCTGATCATTATATGGATTTGCTTTCCCTCTGGCTCTGCTGGCAGTTGCTGAGGTTCAGAGCCTGCCCTTGTTGTTCCAAAAATAGTGAGACACAAGAACTTGGCASAGGGACGTGATTTTCTATAACGAGCGTCCTTCAAGATAATAACGAGCAGGGGGGCTATTCAAGCCAGGCAGGACTGGCCTGGGACTCCAAGACAGAATAATCACTGAACTGGTCCCATTTTACGAGGGCAGCCTAGTGTTTGGCACGCAGCTTTTTGTGTCCCCTTCACTGCCTGTGGGCTGATGGAGTRCTCTCAGCATGGAAAGGGAAGGTTTCTCTGCATCTCCTCTGACTTTTGGGGCACTCAGGCTGTTCTGTCAGGGTCAGCGTGGTCATCCTGTCATGGGTCACTGAGTTGTTTAGAGAGATGAGCCTGTGTTTCACTTCCTAGAGGTGTTGGAGCTGATCTGGAGCCTTCAGCAGGGGCATTGAGCCAAACCACCCTGGAGCCAAAGTGGTGGGGCTGAGAAGCAGCAGCTCACSCACCTCCTGCCCCCAGGTGCCAAAAGGAAGGTGTAAGTGCCCTTGTATGGCCAGGGGAGTCCTTGGTCATGATCCCTCCAGGGGATGTCCAGCATCAGCCACTCCAGTGCCCCCAGAGGGGTGGAGCACAGGGCAGAGCCCAGTGTGGTGGACATAAGGGAGGCTGGAGAGGCAGTGACAGCCTCCCRGGGCTCTGGGAGATGAGCAAGTGCCCTGACACAGACTTTGG